GAATTAAGGTTTAGGTGTAAATCTTAATTGTTTCACTGTAGATCATCAAATTGCAAGCTTTGGCTTTCTGCAGTAGAAGGTAAACACTTGACCAGGCAGTGCCTGTGTCTGCTCAGTACTTTGCCAAATGGAGTCCGTGTGGATCAGAACAGAAATACAGCAGGGGGATTTGCTCCATCACTATCCTTAGTCTGGTCTCTGAGTCAGGGCTGAACTGTGTTTTTCAGGTGATTCAAACTGATTCTGGACCAGCTTCAGAGGCAGAAATTATCAAGATGACAATGAGAAAGGATTATTTTTGCTTGGAAGGCAAAAAATGAGAAACAATTGGGCATATAGTCCTCAGATGTCAGCCAGAGATCTGGGAAGACCAGTGTGAACCCAGTTTTGTTAGTTGATAGGTTTCAATAACTTATTGTTTCAGAGAAAATACGGTGTTTTGCTTTTTTGTTTCTTCGTGTTTTTCTCCAAAGAGTCTCTTCTTACTGAACATGTGAGACCTTCTTCATATCTAGAAGTTTCAAAGCTGCAAATCTTCATGTCTAAACAACTGTGTCAGTCAAGGGGGGAGACAATCACTCTGCTGCAATTCATTTGTTGACTGGCAGATGACTTGAGACACGAGCCTGATCCAGCAAAAGCTGAAGTGCACTTAAAAATTTAAAGGTTAGATTGTAAGTGAGAACGGTGCTTAGTGCATGAGGCAGGATGTTTTTCTCAGCTCGTACTTGGACTCAGAAGGCATCAGGCAGCCAGTGGCAAAAATGTTATGAGTTTCTATTCAGCCTGACAAGCTTGTGCTGATGTAGATGTCTGTTAAGGCTTTGAACAATTTTTTATTTGTATACTTAAAAGTGTAATAATGAAATGCCCAAATCTCCTTAGAAGGTGTAAGAGGAAATTTTGGGTCAGAGAAGGATAACACCTTGCAAGTGCATCTGCAATAGCACAGATTCCATCAGAGCCAGAAGCCAGGCTAGGGCCTGGGAGGCATCACTTCTCCTTATGGCTCTGCTGTAGTTTCCCAACATAGCCATGATGGACTCACTTAATTTCTGTCTAATTACTTGGATGCACAATATACAAGAGTTATATTGCTTAGAGTGGAATGTTACCAGGGCTGACAGTGTCATCTCTGGTGGTTGCATCGGGTGATGCCCTGGCACAGGAGCAGGCACGAGTGCTGAGAGAAGAGCTCAGAGCTGCGGTTTCACGGCATGTTGCGCCGTCGTATCTGAAATAACCGAGCTGGCTCGTGTCTCTCACTGCTCAGCCCCTTTGTAGGTTGACTCACTGTCTTCACAGCTGTTACAAAGAAGGAACAAGTAGCTGGTGCAACAAGGAGTGTTTATTTTCTCTGCTAAATGTATGGTAATGGGTAGAGATTTCTCATTGTAAGAGCTGAAGGCAGGCTGTGTCGAAGTGTGAGGAGGGGCAGGATGTGATTCCCTACCTCCAAACATACCTGCCTCAGGCTGCCTCCACGGGGAGACTTGCCATTGGAAGGCAAGTCCCTTCACCTGCCTTGAAGTACAAATTGCTTTCTGGAGGTGCCTTGATGTCTCTCTGTTGACAGAACTCAGTGCAGTCACTCTTACGACTTGAAGTACATCCAAGTACTTCCAAGTACATCCGAGTGTTCAGGCTAATGCCAGGTGAAAGTCAACCAAAATACCAATCTCTGAACAGTAATCAATATTAAAAACAGTGCTGAACAGTAATCAATATTAATGAACCTTTTGCCCATCTTATACCTTATTCAAAACCAGATTATATCAGTCAGGAGAGGGTGAGTGCTCAGAGTGGGATGTGTCCTCCACCAGCCCATGGTTAACTGGTAACCCAGAGCCCCATTTCCCTGTGGCTGCTGCTGCTTCCATGCAGACCAGGGAATGGTCCCTTCTCCAGACAGCTGCCCACATAGCTGTCTGATGCTGAACGTGGTCAGCAGTGGGTGGCAGTGATATGCTCCCTCTGAACATGGACTTTCCTACCTCCTCACATGCCTTGCCCAGCTCTAAGCAAGTGAAATCTGTCTGGTTTGCAAAGCTTTGTGGTTGAGGAAGATCCCCAAGGAGCATTTCAGGGACACCCTGCTTAAGGGGAGTGTAAGCTCCTTTTTTACTCCCTAAAATGAAGACCTGTTTCTTCCACATGTCATCTAGAATCATACGCTGCTCAGGACACAGATTTTAGTCTTTGCATACTTCCCTCTCTGCCAGAGGGAGACTTCCAGCAATGCCAATAATAATAATAATAATACAGTAACAGCTTTCCCTTCTGCATCCGAGGGAATACTCTCCCGTGAGTGCAGTGGGAACAGCGTCGGGTCCTGTGACTGTGTGTGGGAAAGAGGAAAGCACAGTGGCAGAATAAATAACTAAAGCTGTGAAGGAGAAAAGCCCATCTGTTCGCAGAGGACCAGGAAAAGGCCAAACATCTGCAAGGTCCCCCCAGTTCATCAGGCATCTGCTCTCTGCTTCCCAATCTAAAAACCTTCCCATTTGTGGGGAGAGTGGAGCCAGCAGTTTATCTAACATGGGACATAGTCAGAAGAGCTGGTCTGGGATGCAGTAAAGCCAGCTGTCTCCTACTGCAAAGAAGAGTGTTTTCTTCCAAGCTCCAGGAAAGGACTCTTCTCTTTTTCTGTCCTTTTCCCAAGGACAGAAAAATCTTGCCACTGTGTTTTTTCTTCCAGGAGGAATGGATCTTCCGAAGGGGCAAAATGATATTTGGTTTGTGTTTGTTTTAACAGTCATTGTTTTCCCCTTTTGTTATAGCAATTGTTGTTTTTCCCTTCTGTTTATGCACAAAACCTGCCCTTTTCCCTCTCTCATCCCCTCCAACACATTCTCTACCTTGATTTTTCTTAGATGTTTTGAAGGGTTGTAATAAAGCAAGAGTGTCTGACTAATGTGCTGTGCAGGGAGATCAGTCTTTGGCATCAGAGCCGGGACTAACTGGAGAAACATCATCTGAAGCATATTTTTTGGGAAGTATGTGTCCCCTGGAGTTGAATTTGTTTGCAAAATCGCGTTGACTGGTTGGAGGGTCATTTTCAGAGCAAAGGAGAAAAGTTTACTTAGCACTCAAACATCCCAGCATTTTTTAGAACTAAACACTTAGATATTAATTTCAAAATCTTTCTACTTTTCTTTTTACTCTTTATTGTATTTCACATGATTTGAAATAAAAGATTGGATTAATTACAGGGCATAGACAAAGATACTGCAGATGTTATTGGACATAATTTTTTAAAAAATCAATCCTGAACTCTATAATAGACATGAGCCAGTAGGTTTCATGGGATTTTATGTATTGGAGCAACATGGTTGTCTTAAATTAGTTTTCAGTGTGTTGTTTTCGAACTGTCTTTGAGCATCTGTATTTAGGATGATACTTTCCTAGGGATTCATGGGGGTTTTTTTTGAGTCCCATTCATGCTCACTTTGGGGAAAATGGGAAGAAATTACTTTCCTGGGAAATAACATCCCTGAAAGTCCTAGGAGGAGTTTGTGTCTTTCATAGAGTAATTTGAAATAGAACAGAAAAACTCTCCAGGGCTGCAGACCCATCTGTTTCCCATGGCAGATTGCATGGAGGTGCTGTGCTGGTGGTGCTGCTCAGCTGGTGCCCATGACAGGGATGGCTGAACCCAGGGCTTTGAACCCGGGCACAGGTGGCCCAGACTGCAGGTCACAGGGGTTTGGCTCAGCACCTCTCTGACCTGAGCCTGCTCCATGGTATTTGGGGATGGTGCTGAGGTCTCTAGCTGGGAGGCTGCATGGAGGTAGGGAGGGTCAAGCAGGGAGCTCATATTTCCTTCCAAAAGGGTTAAAATCCTCCAAAAGCAGCAGTTCCTATAGATGTGAAATATCACACTTTTGTTAATCTGAAACTTCCATGCCAGGTGCTGCACATAGGAGGGCCAACTGCTAACAGCTCTACTTTGCGGCATCAAGCTTCATAAGGAGAGATAAAAACATACCAAAGTGGTCCAAATTGCAGGCAGCTGCTTTCCCAGGAGACAAATCCAGTATTAATGGCAAACGCTCTTTTTGCACCCTTAGGAGGTGCTTTCAGAGCCTGGTAGTGTGGTGTGCTCTTCTCCTGTTTTCTTTCTCTTTTGTGCTCCCATGTCACATGAAGTTCTCAAGGATAACTTCTCTCTGCTCCCATCTCCCATTTCTTCTAAGCTGGATGGCTTCACAGCCAGTATGCTGCTTTGTCATCCCATTGGCGCTTTTAGAAGTTTAAGATGAGCAAATGGAAGTGTAGAAATTTTGTTCATCAGCCCCCTTGTAAAAATCCTCCCAAGTTAAAAGAGGTGCATGCTTCTGTGCTTGCAACTGGCCCGTCATGTGGCTGTTGTCACTGAGAAGACCCTGTGATCTTCCCAGAAGTTCTTTACATGAAGCTATGAAGTCCCAATAGGAAGAGGGAGCTGTGAAGTGTGGCTGCCTGTCAGCAGCAGGGATGCAGGAGATGGGCAGGTCTAGATTTTGGGTTCCTGCTCCAGCCCTCCGTGTGTCCTCTGCAGCAGGGAATCCCTGCTTTTAGGTAGCACCTGATGCTTTCTTTATAGGGATCAAGAAGAGCTGGCATAGTTTAGCACACAATGGGAGTGAATTGGATGATATCCATTGCAAGGTTAGACATGGGATGTTCATTGTTGCAAATTTTGTAGTTGCCTATGGCAGATTTGAAATGCAGCTTTGATCTGTGAAGCCACTTGTTGGTGCCTTCAGGCTTTGTAGCATGTCACCTTTTGCTGTGGAGTCTGAGCAATCTGCCAGTGTTAATGAGCTGTCATAGCCATCTCCTGAAGCAGTGAGGGGTGGAGGGTGCAGCTGAAGATTTAATGGTTAAACAATGTGTTTTGTCCTGTGTCATGAAACCAACTGGCAGAGCTTCGAGTAGGGCAGGGTTCGTCCTTGATCATCCATGTCATGATGTGGGGAAATGCTGGTGAGCCTAAATTCTCCCATTCTCTCTCCTAGGGGACTTTCTTCCTCCCCCACCACCTCCTGTGGATGACCTCGGGAATATCACATCATCACAAGGTGCCTTTCCTCCCCCACCCCCTCTGGATGATGTTACTTACAATGTGCAGGTAAGAAGACAAGAATTTTATCATTCGTGCAGAACTGACACAAAAATTGTGGAAATGAATGAATGGTAATAAAATGAGGTGGCAAAGTTCTGTGGTTAAAAATCATGTGTCAGGAATAACCAAGTCAACTTTAGCAAGCTGTGTTTCTCAAGCAGGGAATATTTCCATTCAAAACTTGCTGGGCTATTAAAGGATTTTTCTCATCCGGCTTGAATTAGAAGACTAATTGCTTTGTGTCCTTGTGATGGTGGATGGGAGCGAAGCCTTCCCAGAATGAATTGTTTTCTGGAATGGCCATCTCCTTCCATGGACTGTGGAGAGACTTCAGGGCAGTAATCTGATCCTAAAAGTGCTTTGTTTCGGTGCCTAAAATTAAGTGAAGAAAATAAGCCCTGGCCCAGGCTTCAGTGATGTCACTGAGACCCTTTTCACCCCCTCTTTGCTGGATTGGATCTTCTAGATTTGCCACTGGATGAAAATGCAACTTCTAAGATGCATCAGGTGATGATGGCATGTCCAAAGTGGCTGTGGACATACCCTGAACACCTTTGAAAGGTATGAGCACGTTTGTGCAGACACTGCAAGCTTGCCTGGAGTGCCAGCTACTGTTGTGTTTGCTCAGGCACATTCTGGAGAGGTGCATTCAGACTGCAGGGACCCGCAGTCGAGGTGATCAAGGAGTAACGAGCTGATCTTGCCAGGGGGGGACTAGAAGAGTTTGGCTTGTTAGCTGAGCAAAAGGAAGGCTGAGGAGGGGTATGGTTGGAAATTTGAAATACATTTGGGGATTAAGCCCCTGATTCAGCTCTGTGTGAGTGTTGGTGCAGAAACAGGAGAGATTGAGCTTGCCAGGAGTACCTTCATGCTGGTGTTTAGAAATGTTATAAGCACTGAGGCTCCAAAGGTCTGGAAGAGCCTTCTGTGAGGAGCAGTGAGAACAAAGAGAGCGTGGTCTAGGTTTGAGGCTGGTGAGAGTTGTGTAAGCACATACCGACAGCCATGTGGCTGCCCTTGATGGCCCTGGAAGATTGTGGCTGTCCTGTGTCTCTCGGTGGGTTTGAACCTGAGAATAGGCCAGCAGGTAGACATGAAACAGGATTCAAGAGACCTGACTTAGTTCCTGACCCTCTCACAAACTCTTGAGTCAATTCATCTACTTTGTGCCTCAGTAAAAAGAAAACATTTCCCTCCCTCATGGGCTTGCTGTAATCTCTTGCCCATGGCGAGATGTTCAGATGGTATCACAAAGCCTCAGCCTGTTCCTGCAGTGGGTTCAGTGTTGGAAGCAGCCTTTGAGCAGGAAGGGGTTACTGTGGGTTGTGTTCTCCCTTGCCAGGAAAGGCTGCAGCCGTCAGGGACATTCGCCAAGTGCAGAGCATGGCTTTTCCCAGCCTTGGGGGAATGAAGTAATTCCCCAGCAAGTGTTGTTCTGTCTTTTATCTCTCTGAGAAGAGTGGACCCCGTGGGAGCTGAGGAGCTTCCAGAGCACCCTGGGAAGACGTGGAACAGCAGGCTTCTGGCGAAGGCAGGGCACTGCCTGCATGGCTGCCTGCACAGGAGCCTGAGTAGTGGAAAGGGGTCGAGATGCCTCACGTGATTCCTCAGGGTCAGGCTTCCCTCTTGCCACGTTGCCCAAGGAGGAGCTCGTGTCTTCAGCTCCACATGCCTCCCTTCTGCCATAGGTCCAAAAGTGTGTCTGAGCCGCTCGGGGCTGTCACAGGCACGTGCCCCTTGGTAGAACCACCCGACAGGACGGCTCTTCCTGCTGAGCTCATGGAATTGCTATTTGTCACATCTCTCTCTCTGGCTTTGGGAAACTGAGGCTGGAGCTGCGTTCTGTGTTGGGTTTTGGCAGGAGCGTGGTTAGAGCAAGATTCCTTTGCATGGTATCCTGTTAGGAGGAAGGTGAGCCTATGAGCTGTACCTGAGTACTCCTGCCTGTCACCACCCCAGGTGTATTCTTATGCAGCAAACATGGCTCCCTGCCTTTAATCTGTGCTCTCTTGTCACCTATTCCCCTTTCTTTTCCCTTCCATCCTCTGTAGATCAGGAGCGGACAAAAGTCAGGGCTAAAGTCAGGAGCCAGCAGGGTTTTGTGTTGCAAGATCAGCTCCTTATCTTTCAAGAACAGCTAAAGCTGCGCTGAAGCAAGATGTAAAGCCCAAGAGAGGAGGAAAAGGGCAGCTGGTGATAGAGAAAGCTGTTCAGTGCCTTTGTGAACACAGTAATTTTCACAACTCTGGACAGACATTCTTGTGCTAAAGGAGCAGAACGAGTGGTGACTGTGTTCCTTCTGCTGTGAATCCTTTCTTAGCTCTCAGGAAATGGTTGCCTGAAATCAGGGATCTCATGAGCATGTGTTGTGTGTTGGGCTCCAACAGGCTGATTTTGCTCTCCAATGCCAGACCATTTCATTTCCGTGCCTCAGTTTCCCCATTGCTGAATGTAAGTGCTGGAGCAGCAGACCCTCTTCCTGAGCATTGACCAGGCCTGAAGCTGCTGTCTGGGGCAGTTTGGCCCCTGTGGACCCGGTGAGAGCCCTCCAGATCTACTCCAGAGTTTGAAATTTATCTGTTCCAGCAAATCAGCCATTTTACCTCAGAAGTTTCTCTCTGAATGGCACAGTGCTGATGACAGCTTATGAAATAAGGGTAAAGCTTTTTATACTAAGTGTTAAGTTGATGAGGACAGCAGAATATGTGTTTAGTTTATTATCATTTCGTGTGTTACTGTTAGCAGACGGCTAAAAGCTGCACAGATTATTGCAGTTTAAGTTGTAGCTTAAGAGCAGCAGTTAAAATAATAATGCCCGGTTTTCATAGCCTTGTTTATCTCTGGATCTCTATTTGGGCAGTGGAACTGGCCACTTAGGATCAGATCCAAAAAGGTACTTTAGTATCTCACTTATGCTCTGATGGAAATCAGAGGAGGGCTGGGTCATGAAATACCTTTGTGATAGATCTGGCATTTTCTTGTAATTTCTGTTTTTCCATCTAGATCCTTCATATTCAGATTCACAGCAGTGCTGGGGAAGAAAGGGGAAAGAAATTTGAACTCTTTTCTTATTAGTTGGAATTCTTTTTGAAAAAAAAAGTAGAAAGAAAAGGAAATATTTATTTTAAACAGTGTGTGCTTGGGCTGGGGAAGAGTTGTGTTGGGAAGTTCCCCTTCAGCTGCAGTCAGCCGGTGAAGGCAAGGACTTGTTCCCAGAATGGTGGTGAGGGCGCGGCGATGGTGTGTTTGACAAATAAGGACATGAGCAAAGAGCCTTTTGCCACGTTGGCCTGGGCTCAGTTTAAAAGAGAAAGAAAAAAAATTCTGGACGGGAAGAAAAATGAAATCACTGTTTGTCGAAGGGAAATAGATAGATCTGGGAGGGAGGGAGGCAGATTTTTATTATGTTTTTGCCTTCTAGTTTCAAAACAGGCATTCTGCCCAAACCAGGGAAAGAAAAAGTGAAAAACTTGCATGAGCCACCTCTCGAGTGCCCTGTTTGCTCACAGAGAGGAGTCTTGCTCATGGCACTGGCAATTCTTTCTTCCTTGCCAGACAGGGTTACTTAGGGATGAGGACTGTGTGCAGTGGGGTGGGAAACCAGTCTGTGCCCTGTGCCCCATCCTCATGAAGGCTGTCTCGGGGGTCATGGGTGCTGCAGGGGCTTCAGGTCTTCACTGGCTTTGATTGAAATGACCAGTTCTCCTTAAAGGAGAGGTTCAGAGCACAACATTTCATGTTGGGGCAGGACCTGAGTGGCACAGAGCAGATATGACCCTCAGTTGCCAACTTGCCAAGGGCCACCTTGGGAAAACATCCATTTAAAAATTGCTACTAATTACCTGCTTCCACTAATGGGTCTGATTTTCATTTGGGATCTGAGATGCTGCTGCAACATGGGATGGAGAGCATTGTGTTCAGCGAGGAGATTGCCTCTTTCCCAGCAACCCCTGGCTGTTATCAGTGTATTTTTTTATTGACAGGCCACAAAACACTTTACAAAAGAAATACCAGTCTCTTCCTGATAAGGAAGGTGGAGCAGGGAAAGTACTTTACCTAGGTCACCAAGCTGACCAGTAGCAGACTAAAAATAGGACCAAGATCTCCTGCATCCCAGAGCAATTCTGTCTGCTACATCCCGCTGCCTCACTACTGTAAGAACTGCAAATTAATGAGTAAGCCCCATCAGTGGCTGAACGAAGGAAGAATTTGGGCTATATCAAAAGGGATGTGAAGAAATGTTTTTAGGTTGGGGGTTAAAATGTAGAAATAATCAGACTTTGAGCAGTTGCATGAAGTGCAATATAAAATAGTTTAATATTCCAGTTCGTGTTATAACCACCTATGCTTGGAGGGGCTGCAGGGCTGCAGCTACACGGTTAGGGAACTATTCCCACGTTCAGACCTACTGAACTCACTGATCCCATCATCCTGTTGTGTGATATGCAGAAAATCAGCCGAAGGGCTCAGATTCCTGATGCCAAGGAATTTTGGAAAGAGAAAATCTGAAACGCCGTCTGAAGGCGTGTGCGCCTTCCTTCGCGAGGCTGTTCAGAGGAGACCTGTGCTCGCGCCTGGGAGAAGGTGGGAATGTGTTGATAGATGCGGGAAGCGAGAGCCTCATCCTTGTTATGGAGGAGGCTGCCAGGTGTTTCGCTGCCCGACTCCGCTCCCCGCGAGCGGCGGTGGCGCTGCCTCTGTGGGCTGTGACTCACCGGCTGAAGAAACAGCCGGAACAGAGGAATTTTTTTTTTTAATTATTATTTTTTTAAGATTTATTTCTTCATTTTGGGTACACATGTTGACAAATAGCTGGGGAGGAAGGAGCATGAATTTTGCCAGTGGGGGGGTGCTGCCTTAAATAGAACATCTCCTGTTTGGAGGCTGGGTTCTGCCCGTGGGTGCTAGGCTTGCTTAAATCACCTGCCTTTTAATATTTGGAGAAGCTGAAAAGGCCAAAGAGAGCAGAACATGTGTTCAGCCTCCCTCTAGTGCTAGATTTGGTT